GACGTGAAGGGACACATCGAGTGGCTGCCACCCGCACGACCAACCAGGGCCGGGGACAAACTGCAACCGAAGTACGTGCCCTTAGCGGGAACCGAACCCGGGTCTCTCCGGACCGCAGGCCGACGCTCTAACCGCTGAGCCAAACTGGCCAGGGCACCTGAGGACATTTTTGTATTTATCTGTAGATAGGGAGGGAGGGAGAGGGGGGGGAAGAGAGAGAGAGAGAAACATTGACGTGAGAGAGACACATCGAGTGGTTGCCACCCACACGACCCCATCCGGGGCCAGGGACAAATTGCAACCGAGGTACGTGCCCTTAGCGGGAGCCAAATCCAGGACTCTCTGGCCCACAGGCCGATGCTCTAACCGCTGAGCCAAACCCGCCAGAGCAATATTTGTTGAATGAATGAAACGAATGGGTTACTGTCTGCCTCCAATATTGCCACACTCTAACTCCCTTTCACCTGTAGGCACTCGGTCTCCCGGCTTCTCGCTGACCTTGCAGTAGTCTCACTCCTTGACAGGCCTGCAAGGCCCTTTGTGAGCTATGCTTGCCTGCCCCTCCAGCCCTACCTGTGTCTCCCTCTTCTTGCCTAGATTTTCCCCTTCCAGTCCGCCCCGCCGGGACTGTATTTGTGCTCTGGACCTACTGAACATCTTTCAGACCCTCAAAATTGCCATCTCCTCTCCACCCAACCTTCCCAGCTCTCAGGTCATTTTAGAACCAGTAGCTCTCCTTAACACGTAGCCCTTAGCTCCTTAACTCCTTCGCACTGTCTTGTGAGTGTTCTGTAGTGGTTGTATCCTCTCTATGCGGGGCACTCCATGAGGCCAGGGGCTGTTCCGCTTGGTTATGTATGTGTTTACGCACACTTACGCACATCTTCAAGAATGTACACAGTGCAAGGAAAGTCGGTTGTTTCTGGATGGACAGGATAGCATATTTTTAATGTTTTAAAACACTTCTGTGTATTTTCTGAGTTTCAAAATAAATATCTGTTTTTCTAATAATAAAAAATAATAGTAACTGTTAACTTTAACTTCCCTATTACTACCCCCAGCCTCTTATTGTTTAACCTTGCCCCAAGTTCCTTATTCCGGGAAACCAAAGCTTATCGCTCCAACCAGGCAGAACAGTGTCCTGAATCCCCCACCCAAACCTAAACAGCCGCTCCACCAGAAGAACAACTCGGAAAGACCCCAGCCCCGACCAATCAAGGACGACCGGGACTCCTGGGCGGGGCAACCACCCACCCCAGCCCTAAGTTTAAAAACCCTTAGTCTGTACGGCTGCTGCGCTCTACTTGCCACTGAGCCACACCACCTGGGCACAAGTAGTTTTTTTAAATTGATTTTATAGAGAGAGAGGTAGGGAGAGAAAAACATTGATTTTTGTTGCACTTATCCATGCATTCATTGGTTGATTCTTGTATGTGCCCTGAGCGGGGATCGAACCTGCAGCTTTGGCCTACTGGGACAAGGCTCTAGCCCACTGAACTGCCTGAGGCTCAAGTAGTTTTTGTGTTGCAGAAAGTCCCATGGTAGATCTCCTTAGTGCTGTTCCTATGCAAAACAGTGAAGAATAACCGCGCTGAAGCCTGTACCATATATACTAGGCATATTTTTACTAATACTAAAAACAGCCCCTTTGGATAGGTATTACAGAGGACAAAACTGAGCTTGGGAAGAGTAAGCCACCTGCCCAGAGTCATACTGTAGTAGGTGTGTAGGCAATACCAGGACGTGGGCCCAGGTTGTGGTGACACCACAGCCTGTCAGATTCTTGTTTTCCGCCCACCACTCTGTTTTCTTCTGGAATTAACATTCTCCTCTTCTAAAAACGGCTCCTCTCCTGACCCCAGCATGGGGATTATTTGAGATCATGTCCAGGTCATGGCTGATTCACTGCGGCCTAGGAGCTTCATCCCAGGAGGGAGTGCTTTCAGAGTTCTTCCCCCTGTGTTTGAGTTGACAGCTCCAGAGATTAGGAGGCATTATGGGCCACTGCCACAAGGATTAAGATATGACTCAGTCATTTCCAGCAGTCTGTCCACCCAAACTGGTCTGCAGAGAGAGAGAAGCGAGGAGGGAGGAGCCTGGCAGCCAAGCCCCTGAGATCCATTCTCGAGGCCCCTCGTCCCCACCTTCGCGTGGTTAGGTTGTTCCACTTTTCCTGGAATTTAGTGAGGCCTGGGATCCCTCCTTTTTCCTGGGCCAATGCAAGTTTCTACCGCATTTAACCAGAATAGCTGAGATCCCAGCTCGGGCATTCTTTTCGCCAGGAAGGAGCCAGCCCTGTGTTCTAGTGGAGAGAAAGTGGACTGCAGATAAGATCCTGCCCGCATGTGGACAGAGCAATTCTTCATGGTGTCAGAGCTTCAGACTGGCAGAAGCACTGCTATTAAAGCCACCACAGAGGGCACAAGAGACCGAGCTACTGTCTCAAGCACCAGACAGTACGTCTGGGCTGCTCTTGTGCTGGAGGACACAGAGCTCAGATCTACTCGAGAAAGGAAAGCAACCACCCAACCCGCTATGTTTATTTTGGGTTCAGCCGCTTTTGAAGTAATAAGAAAAAGTGTCATTTACGAACTGAAGCGCTCTGCTCTGCCAGTCATGCTCTTGATTTTAACATTTTCCAATTGCATTTCCTGTTTTAGAACCTATGGTGGGCATTCACATGGTTCAAACTGCAAAAGGTCCAAAAAGAAATACAGTGCAAATTCTTCCTTTCATCCATGCCACTGACCCGGTCATCCCTACCCCACAGGTAAGCAGCGTAACCAGCAAAGAACTGTGTCCAGCCCTGACCGGTTTGGCTCAGCGGTTAGTGCGTCGGCCTGCGGTCCAGAGAGACCTGGGTTCGGTCCCCGCTAAGGGAACCTCGGTTGCACGTACTTCGGCTGCAGTTTGTCTCTGGCCCTGGTTGGTTGTGTGGGTGGCGGCCACTCGATATGTCCCTTTCACATCAATGTTTCTCTCTCTCTCTTCCTCTCTCTCCCTCACACTCTATCTGAACAAAAAATGGAAAAATGTCCTTGGGTGAGGATAAAAAAAAGAAGTGTGTCCAGCCATACTCTCTGCATGTTTATTATTATTATTATTTTAAATCCTCACCCGAGGACATTTTTCCATTTTTTGTTCAGAAAGAGTGGGTGGGGGGGGGGAGAGAGAGAGAGAGAGAGAGAGAGAAACATTGAGGTGAAAGGGACACATTGAGTGGCCGCCACCCACACAACCAACCAGGGCCGGGGACAAACTGCAATCGAGGCACACGCCCTTAGCGGGAACCAAACCCGGGTCTCTCTGGACCTCAGGCTAATGCTCTAACCGCTGAGCCAAACCTGTCAGGGCTCTCTGCATGTTTATATTGGCCTTTACTGCTCGACAGATCACTCCGAAAATCCGTGGTTAAGACAACTGGGGTTTGTGTTTGTTCAAGATTCTCGGGGCCAGCTGGGCAGTTTTTGTCGGAGCTTGTTCAGTGGGCTGAATGATCTAGAATGGCCTTAGTCACCAGACGGGCTGTTGACAGGCTCTTTGACCTCGGGAGTCATCAACGATCTGGAAGTTGGCTCTGTGTCAGGTGTTGTGACAGCCACACACCTCGATCAGGTGAGAACAACACTTCCCAGGAGTGGAGGCTGCACTCCAATGCCCAGACACCTCCCAAGCTTCTGCCTTCATCACAGTTGCTGGTGAACCTTTGGCCAAAGCAGATGAAATCAACGCAAATGGCCCAGCCAAGATTCGAGGGGTCTGGAGAAACGCGGCACGTCCTGACGGGAAGAGCTGTGAAGCCCCGTTGCCAGGGGCACGGGCGCGGGGGTGGGAGGGGCTGGCCCTGGTTTTCACAGTCACAGCGCACGTTTGTGAACATGGCTGTACGTGGGGGGGAGGGGTACTGTCCGCTCTCTCTTACATAAATGGTGGTATGATTTCTATGGTGTTTGTACATATTTATCACCTGTTTTCCCAACCTTGATGTCCATCAAAACGTAAACGTTTATGTTTTAGATCTTAAGACAGATTGCAGTCAGTTTGGCAAAAGAGTTATCTCTTTTTTAACAGAATTTTATTGATTTTTAGAAGAGAGGGAAACATCGACGTGAGAGAGACACATCGATTGGTTGCCTCCCACACGACCCCGACCAGGGCCAGGGACCTAACTGCAACCGAGGTGGGTGCTCTTGGCCAGGATCAAACCCTTCAGTCCGTGGGCCAACGCTCTAACCGCTGAGCCAGACCAGCCAGGGCGTGTGGTCTCTTTATGTCAGAGGGAAGGAAGATCAAGTGGAGGGATCTGTAATATACAGCAGAGAACAGAACTGGCTTTAGTTTTACTTGGTACTTTTGCCCGAGGTGAACTATCAGCTATCGGGGATCTTGGTATAGCTTCTAAGGTCAGACACATCACTGCTCATCGAAGTACCCACACAGTCTCCGAATAATCAAAGTACTTTTTGGCCGAAGGATTTCCTTCATAGTCTCCATTTAATTAGAACTCATTCCCTTCTTGAAAGAAGACTCTTTTTTTTTTTTTATCCTCACCCGAGGACATTTTTGCATTTATCTTCAGATAGAGCAGGAGGGAGAGAGGGAGGAAGAAAGAGAAACATTGACATGAGACAGACACATTGACTGCTTGCCACCCCCACAACCCCAACCAGGACCTGGAACAAACTGCAACCGAGGTATGTGCCCTTAGCGGGAACCAAACCCGGGACTCTCTGGTCTGCAGGTGACACTCTAACTGCTGAGCCAAACCGGCCAGGGCAAGAGTCATTTTTTTTATTATTATCCCTTATCCAAGAGGAAGCTTGTATTGTCCTCCTTAGGGTCCAAAGGTCACATTTTCTGGAAAGTCTTCCCAGCCGGTTTTAAAGAGTGCCCCACATCAATTCCTGGCTTTCCCCTCCCCTTCCAGCTTTATTCTTTTCGGTAAGCACAGGTGCACCTGGCACACTACCTATTTTTCTGGTTGCTTGTTTATCACCTACCGACATCTAGCTCTAGGAGGACAGGGTCTTGGTCTTGTTTATGCCTGTGCCCCCAGCACTGAGAACATAGAAGGCCCCTACTAAGTATTTATTGACTAAGTGAAAATAGTGGCTATTTCCACACACTAGTTACCTTTCTAAGCCCCAATAACCTCATCTTTAGGATGGAGGTTTTTAATACCTCCTTCCTTAGATTTCCACGCAGAGACAATGAGCTATGGAAGTGACACCTCATGGGATGTAAGACACCAGACAGACACCTCCATTGCTCTGTCCATCAGATGCGCTCACGACCTTCACTCAGGCCAGGGCCTAAGTGTCCATAACACAAGCAGCACCCCTCTCGTGGATCAAAACCTCGTAAAACGAGGAGAGGGCGCTTCTCTGAAGGTTACTCTGGACTTCTCTTGTGTGTGTCTTCCCCGCCCCCGGATACTCCATTTAAATGAAAGAAATAGAAAATACTGAGGACAACAGGGTGCCATCAGGAGATGAGAGGTGTCAGTGGATTTCCAGAAGATAGAAGGCAGATAAAAATGTCTTGACGGTTGAAGTGGAATGGAGGAGGCCACAGCCAAGAATAAGCAGCCAACCTGCCGAGCAGAAGCCCAGAGACTAGGATGCCTCCGGACGGAGGGGAGCCAGATGGGAAGGCTGCGTCAGGGACGAATGCAAGTCTGTCTGTTGAACAGCTGCTCACACCCCTTCATCCCCATGCCTGTACCGGGAGAGAGCCAGCCATGTAGCCCTAGCCAACAATCCAGAAAGCGTATTCTCCAAAGAAACGGAATGATATTCTCCAAAGAAACAGAATGAACCGCAGCTGAAGCGTGTGTCGGCTCCCCAAAGGCGCGCCCTCTCCATTCTGCCATTTAAAGTTTCCCACAACCCAGAGACCAGTTCCTCGTCCATTTACCCTAAAGCAACACGTGCAAACCAACCAGCCTGACCCAGGCACTCGGAGAGAGGTTTTGTGGGAAGAGGAAATGGCCTTGCCTTCATTCAGAAAATGTCAAATGTCAAGCTAGGATGAAAACCAACCACAGAGAAGAGAAGGACAAACCGTTCTCGCACAGAGAGCCCAAGTCAGTCATTCACTCAGGCCTGGGACGGCTTCTTGCAGGGGAAGACAGACAACAGGGAGAGAAGAAGCAAAAGAAAGAGAGGAGCCCGGGCCGGTATGGCTCAGTTGGTTGAGCATCATCCCATGCACTGGAAAGTCACCGGTTCAGTTCCTGGTTGGGGCACATGCCCAGACTGTGGGTTCGGTCCCTGGTCCGAGTGCGTGTGGGAGGCAACCAATCAATGTTTCTCTCACACTCTCTCTTTCTCCTTCTTCCTTCCTTTCCGAAATCAATAAAAAACATATTTAAAAAAAGAGAGAGTGGAAACCTTTATTAAGCCCGTACATCAGCCCTCGGGGAGGGGCACAGAACCGTGTGGGATCAACCTGTCTCTCGTACTCATAGGGATGACGGAGGACTTCACAGAGAGGGTGTGTCTGAGGGGTTCTTAGATGACGCGATGGTTCATTTATGTGTCACTGGGGCTGTGCCGTGTGCCCAGATACTTGGTCCAGCAGTATTCTGGATGGTTTTGTGAGGGTGTTTTTTGGATGAGATTAACGGTGAAATTAGTGGACTTGGAGTAAAACAGATTGCGCTCCATAAGGTGAGTGGGCTTCCTCCTTTCGGCTGGAGGTCTTACTAGGACAAAGACTGACTTCCCCGGAGCAAGAGGGGCTTCTGCCAGCCCACGGCCTGCAGCCTCGAACCGCAGTGTTGGCTCTTCCGTGGATCTCCAGCCTGCCCACCCTGCAGATTCTCGGAGTTGCCAGCCTCCATCATCATGTGAGACAGTTCCTGAAAATAATCTTTCTCTTTCTGTACACACACACTCACACTTCCTGTTCTGCTTCTCTGGAGAGCCCTGACTAATACAGATGGTATCTCTGGCCCCCTCCAAGGGCGCTCCTGGAAAAGAAGGGTATTTGCCAGTAGATATTGAACAGGCAACCGTGGACTGAGTAGGAAGAGTCATTCCATGCTGGGGAGCAGAAATCAAGCCAGGGAATTGTTTGTACAGCAGAACAGTTTGAGAGGGAGATGAGCACAAGTGATGAAGTCTCACCTCTGCCCCTCAAACAACACTTTGCAGGCCAGAAGGGAGTAGCAGGATACATTCAGAGTGATATAAAGCAAGAACCGCCCTGGCCGGCTTGGCTCAGCGGTTAGAGCATCGGCCTGCGGTCTGGAGAGACCCGGGTTCGGTTCCCGCTAAGGGCATGTACCTCGGTTGCAGTGTGTCCCCGGCCCTGGTTGGGTTGTGTGGGTGGCGACCACTCGATGTGTCTCTTTCACGTCTATGCTTCTCTTTCTCTCTCTCCCTCCCACTCTATCTGAACAACATATCAAAAAATGTCCTCAGGTGAGGATAAAAAACAACAACAATAACCTACAACCAAGATTACTCAATCCTGCAAAGCATTTAGAATCGATGGCCATATAAAGAGTTTCCCAGACAAGGAAAAGCTAAAGGAGTTCATCACCACCAAACCATTATTATATGAAATGTTGAAGGGTCTTCTTGAAGATAAAGATAAAAACTATAAACAAACAAAATGGCAATGAATACATATCTATTGACAATTGAATCTACAAACAAAATGAACAAGCAGAACAGAAACATTCTCAGAGATACAGAGACCATTTTGTTGGTTGCCAGATGGGAGGAGGGTTGGGGGAACAGTTGAAAAAGGTGAAGGGATTAAGAAGTCCAAATTGGTTGCTAGACTGACAAACCTCCAAGGGAAGGGGGCTTGGAGGGTGGGAAGAAATAAACCAAAGAACGTATATGCATATATGCATAACCAATGGACACAGACAACAGTGTGGGGAAGGCAGGAGGGGGCGGGAGAGGGGAGGAGGGGTTCAGTGGGGGAAAAATGAGGAACATCTGTAATACACTCAACCATAAAGATAAATTTAAAAAAAAGAAAAAATATTTTCGGACCTCAGCCTCTACTTCCAATACCCAACCCCGTGCTTGGCCCCTCGGCACTCAGGAACGAATGTGTACAGGGGGTCATCATCACCTCATTCAGGCCTTTATGGAGACACGTTGGGAGTTGAGTCTGGTTGTTATTTGATTCTGGATCATAATGGCAGTTCTGTGGGATCCATGGGCCCCAAAAAGGGCAGGTGGAAATGCCCCTTAAGGGTTAGCAGGCAACATGACCGCTTTGGAGTCCTCTGCCTCTTAGACTCTCTCCCTGGATATCACAATGGCAGGGGAGAAAGTGGGAACCCTGGGCATGGGCCACGTTGATCCTGTGGCCTGGTGTGCCCTCAAAGGTACTGGCCTCCCAGTGTAAGAGGCTCAGGTGGGCCTTTGTCCATCAACATCATTGTTTCCAGCCCCCATGGTCAGACGTAACCCAACCTGCTTCAGCAAGTCCTGACAGGAAGGGAGGTTCCAGGAACTGGGACGAGCTGCAGTGTGTTTTTGTAACCTCGGTGGAGTCCTAAGAATGTGATTCTGGGGCCAGGAGAAGCCTTCAGGGGAAGCCCCGGGGGCAGCGGTTCTGCAACCCGGCAGAAGACAGGGTTTGCTGGACCTGAGGAATTCAGGGGAACAGGCGTGGGTGTCCTCGGGTGGAGGAGGAGGGAGAGTGGCAGGCTTGGCCAGATCCAGGGTCAGGGTTAGAGTTCCCCCAAATCTTGTCAAAATTCAATACCTTACTATTTCTGACAGGTCAGCCAGGCCTGGGGATGGCTTGTTGCCTTCCTAAAAGGCAGGGCTCTTTGCGTTGCAGATCGAATGCCAAGCGGGAGGCAGTCAGCCACCGAAGCCCCTTCCCATGCCCTGGGCCCGAATCCGGAGACCAGCTCCAGAAGGAGAGGGGAGCCAGGAGCCCCGATGACCGCGGGCCTCGGTGTGCCCCCCTGTGTGAAGCAATGGCCCTAAACCTTCTGCAGGGAGAAGGTCTCTCTCTTTGGAAAAACATGGGGCTTTTTTTTTTTTTTTAATCCTCACCCGAGGACATTTTTCGATATTTTGTTCAGATAGAGTGGGAGGGGGAGAGAGAGAGAAACATCGATGCGAAAGGGACACATCGAGTGATCACCACCCGCACGACCAACAGGACCAGGGACAAACTGCAACCGAGGTACGCGCCCTCAGCGGGAACCGAACCCGGGTCTCTCCGGACCGCAGGCTGACACTCTAACCGCTGAGCCACACCGGCCAGGGCAGGAGGTTTTTTTGTTCATCGGAGGTGGGCTGGCCTAATCCTTTGTTCTGGCAGTTTCCCCGCAAGTTTGTATAATCAGATCCATCTTCTGGGAAGCAAGACAGCATGTGGGTGGGAGAAGGGCAGCCTGCCCAGTCTGCCGGACAGTGGAGTGGGCCGCAGACGAGACGGGGAGTGATAACTAGAAGCGAGTCATGCCAGAGGCCCTGGTCAGGAAAACCCGGTCAGAGATCCAGACTTTTTCCTAAGGGAAATGGGCAATCTGGAAGAGCTTTAAGTAGCAAAGGGGCATGGCTGGATTTGCCGTGAGGGCCGCTCTGGCTGCGGTGTGGGAATGGCGGTGGGCAGGCGGGGGTACCGGCCGGGAGTAGAAGGCCATGCATAGTCGGGCCTCAGTGTTGATTGAACCCAGGAAGGCGGAGAGAAGCCCGTGGTGACATTTTGTGTTGGGCAAGCGGCGCTGCTACTGGCAGAGCGAAGGGGGAGGGGTGCAGGGGGGAAGGGACAGGATGAGTTAGGTTTGGATATTCTGGTCTGAGAAATGTGTGATACCCAGGCAAGGTCGGCCAGCAGTTGGAGAGAGAACTGTGGTTAGAGACCTAGGTCGGGTGCCTGGCTCCTGGGGGGGGAAGGGAGCCGAGGAGACGCTGGGAGCCAGGGGAAATCCTGGGGCAAAGCCCTGAGGAAGGGCCACACTGAGGTGCTGGGCCCAGGAAGGCACTGAGCCAAGGAGACTGAGAGCAGGCAGTCAGGC